TGATGGCCAGAGAGAAGCGGGAGCAGGGCAAGAGCTGGGTGGAGGCAGGCAAAGGGAGGAGAAATGGGGACATCTGTAATAGTGTCAACAATATAACTAAAGTTAAAAAAACTAGATAACGTGGAAAAATTTACACATATGTAAGTCAATGGGTCAAAGAAGAAAGAAAAGGGAAATAAAAATGTCTTTAAATAAATTAAAATAGAAACATAAAACACCATTATTGGATACAAGAGAAGTTCTAAGTGGGAAGTTCATAGCACTAAATGCCTACATAAAAAAAAAAAAGATCTTCAATAAACAACCCAGCTTCACACTTCAAGAACCTAGAAAATAAAGAACAAATTAACCCCAGATAGAAATAACAAAGATCACAGTACAAATAAATGTAACAGAGAATAGAAAGATAAATCAACAAAACTAAGTTGTGTTTTCTTAATGAGAAAATTGACAAAACTATAGCTAGCCTAAGCAAGATAAAAGGACTAAAGTAAATAAAACCAGAAGAGGAAAAAAGGGGTCATACAACTAATAACAGACATACAAAAGACCACAAGAGAATAATATGAAAAATTATATGCTAACAAATTAGATAACCTGGAAAAACTGGACCTATTCTTAGGAACATACAACCTACCTAGAATGTATCATGAAAATAAAAAACCTGAACAAACTAATAACAAGTAAAGATATTGAATCAGTAAGCAAAAACCTCCTAATAAAGTAACAAGCCGAGGTGGCTCTAGTGGTGAAATCTGCCAAACATTTAAAAAAAATAATTGTTATTAACCATTCTCAAACTTTCAAAATTTGAAGAGGTGAAAACACTTCCAAAATCATTGTATGAAGCCAGCATTTCTTTAATACCAAAGCCATAAAAGGGTACTATAAGAAAATGAAACTGTAGATTAATATTGCTGATGAATACAGATGCAAAATTTCTCATCAAAATATCAGCAAATTGAATTACACAACACATTAAAAAGATCATACACCATGATCAGGTGGTATTTATCCTTGTAATGAAGAATGGTTTAACATATACAAATCAATAAATGTAACAAACCCCACTAACAGTGAATTATAAAAATCATGTGATTGTCTCAATAGATGCAGAAAAGTATTTGACAAAATATAACACCCTTTCATGCCAAAATCTCTTTGGTATAGATGAATGTACCTTATCATTGTAAAGGCTACATATGACAAGCCTACAGCTAACGTCATTCTCCATTGTGAAAAAATAAAAGCTTTTGTACCTACAATCAAGGACAAGACAAGGATGCACATTTTCTCCACTTCTATTCAATATTGTGCTGGAAGTCCTAGGCACAGTAATTAGGCAAGAATAAGAAATAAAGAGCAGCCAAATCACAAAAGTGATACACATTTTTTTTCACCAGAACTGATAGAACTAGTAAACTGATTCAGTAAAGTTTCAGAATACCAAAGCTACATATAAAAATTATGCTGAGTTTCTATACAAATAAACTATTTAAACTGGATACTAATGGACACTATAAACTATACAAAATGGAAATCAAGAAAACAACTCCACTTACAATAACATAAAAAACCCAATACTTCAAAATACAGTTTGCACCAAACAAGATTGACATGATTTAAATTTTTTAATTTAAATTATTTTTTACTCTTTATGCTGTTACTGTTGTTCCAATTTCCCGCCTTTTCTCCCTCTGTCCAGCCCAGCCCTGACTCCCACAGTCATTGTAAAGGCTACAAACCATTGTCAATGTCCATGGGTCATGCATATATGTCTTTGGCTAACAGCATTAGCTTCTTTGGACTAGTGCCTCCTTCCCCCCTCCCCTTTTACACCTGTCAGTCAAAACTCTGTTTTTATGCTTCTGATGCTATTTTGCTTGTTCTTTATTTTGTTCATTAGATTCAACATATAAATGATATCATATGGTATTTGCCTTACATTGACTGGCTTATTTCCTTTACCATAATAGTCTCCAGATCTGTTCATATATGCACCCCTATGTTCATAATGAGAGTAAAATTTTTTATTAAAAATTTAATTACAGTTGACATACAATATTATATTAGCTTCAGGTGTACAACATAGTGATTAGACATTTATATACCTTACGAAGTGACAACCCCAATAAGCCTAGTACCCATATGACATTGTACATATTTACTATAATGTTATTAACTATGTTATACTTTATACCCATGTTACTATTTTTATGACTGTTAATTTGTACTTCTTAACCCCTTTTAACTTTTTTACCAATTCCACCCAACTGCCTTCCCATCTGGTGACCATCAAATTGTTCTCTATATGCATGAGGTTGTTCCTTTTTTGTTTGTTCATTTATTTTTTTTACATTTCACATATAAGTGAAATCATATGGTATTTAGTCTTTTCTGACTTATTTTACTTAGCATCCATAAATGGCAAGTTTTTATTCTTTTATATGGCTCAATAATATTCCATTGTACATATGTACCATTTCTTTATCGATTTATCTATCGATGGACACTTTTTGTTGCTTCTATATCTTGACTATTGTAAATAACGCCACAGTGAACATAGGGGTGCATATATCTTTTCAAATTAGTGTTTTGGATTTTTTTGGTTAAATACCCAAAAGTAAATTTGCTGGGCCCTATGGTAATTCTACTTAAACTTTTTTGAGGTACCTCCATACTGTTTTCCATAATGGTTGCACCAATTACAATCACACCAAAAGGGCACAAGGGTTCCCTTTTCTTCATATTATTGCCAAAATGTTGTTTGTTTGTTTTTCTCTGCAATGAAATTTTTATTTCCACCTTATAAGAAAAAATGTCTTAAAAGAATGTCAAGCTTTTTTTTTTAGCTGTTTGAGCATTTATTCATGTTTTTGTTGATTTATTGATGGCAGCTATTCTGATAGATATCACAATGAGTTGATATTTCATCATGGTTTTAATTTGCACTTCTCCGGTGTTTAGTAATGTTGAACACCTTTCTGTTAATGGGATGGTTTTCTTTTGGCCATCTGTACATCCTCTTTGGAAAAATGTCAGTTCTGGTCCTCTGCTCATTTTTTAATCACATTTTTGTGGTCTTTGGTATTAGGTTGTATGAGTTCCATATTTATTTTGGATATTAACTCTTTAATAAATTCAGCATTGGTGGACATTCTCTCTCATTCATTAGATTGTATTTTCATTTTTTAATGGTTTCCTTAGCTGTGCAAAAAATTTTAGTTTGATGTAACCCATTGGTATATTTTTCATTTTGTTTCCCTTGCCTGAGGAGACAAATCCAAAAAATTTTTGCTAAGAATAATTGCAAAGAGTTTAGTGTCTATATATTTTTTAAAGAATTATGATTTCATGTCTTACATTTAAGTCTATAATTCATTTTGAGTTCACTTTTGTATGTACAGGAAAGTGGCCTGATTTTAATTTTTGTGTGTATCTATCTAGTTTTCTCAGCACCATTTATTGGAGAGACTGTTTTTGCTTCATTGTATATTCTTGCTTCCTTTGTCATAGATTAATTGACCATATAGGTGTTGGTTTATTTCTAGGATGTCTATTCTGCACTTTTGAACTGTGTGTTTGTTTTTATGCCAGTACCATGCTGATTTGGTTACTACAGCCTTATGGTATAATTTGATATCAGGCAGTGTGGTAGCTCCAACTTTGCTCTCTTTTCTAAGTGTTGGTTTTGCTGTTTGGGGTCTTGTGGTTTCATTTTAGGATTATTTGCTAGTTCTGTGAATAATGTCATTGGCACTTTGATAGGGACTGCATTAGATCTATAGATTGCTTTGTATAGCATGGACATATTAACATTGTTAATTTTTTCTATCCATGAGCATGGTATATATACTTCCATTTATTTGTCTTCTTCAATTTCTTTCTGCAATGTCTTCTAATTTTCCAAACACAGGTATTTTTCCACCTTGGTTAAGTGTATTCCTAGGTATTTTATTCTTTCTGATACAACTGTTAATGGGATGGTTTTCTTAATTTCTCTTTCTGATAGTTTGTTATGGGTGCATAAAAATGCAACCAATTTCTGAATATCAATTTTGTATTCTGCAACTTTATTCATTTAGTAGTTTTAATAGTTGTTGGTGTAATCTTTATGGGTCTCTACAAATATTGTCATGTGACCTTCAAATAATCACAGTGTTACATCTTCCTTTCCAATTTAAATGCCTTTTATTTCCTTTTTGTTTCTTATTGCTGTGTGAGATTTTCAAGTACATATGTTGAATAAAAATGGCGAGAATAAACATCCTTGTCTTCTTCCTTATCTTAAAAAAAGTTTTTTCAGACTTCCACTCAAGATGGTGGCATAGGAAGATATGGATTGCCTCTTCACACAACCACATCAAAATTACAAATAAAATATAGAACAACCATCACTCAGGAACATCAGAAATTGAGCTGAATGGAAGTCTGACAACTATGGAATTAAAGAAACCAAATGCATCCAGACTAGTAAGAGCGATGCAGACATGGAACAGGCTGGTCCAATACCCATGTAGATAAAAATTCGGGAGGGATATCTCAGGAGCGAGGAGTCCCAGCTCCACACAAGGACCCTTAGCCCAGGATTCCAGTGTCAGGAAGATAAGTCTCCACAACATCTGGCTGCAAAAACCAACAGGGATTGAGTCAGTCCTCTTTCTTTAAGAGGAGTCCCAAACAGTTCTTCTTAAAGAAAACACATATGGACTCACGTACTCGGACTCACTCCCTCTGAGCTCCAGCAGCAGGGTAGCAGCTTGAAAGGCACCAGTGATATACAGAGACAAACTGAAGTGCCTGGCATCATGGCGAGCAGAGGCCACTGTCCCTTTGCTAAACCCTGCCCCCCCACCACAGAGTCAGTAAACTGATGCCATCTCTGAGACTCCATCAACCTGGGTAACACTGTTTGACCTGCTTTGGAGATCCCCAGAGGCTCTGCCCCACCCAATTTACGGGCCCAACCAAGCTGCTTTTCCATAAGAATGGCTGGTCTTGTGCTTGCTGTGGCAGCATATATACTAGAATTGGAACGATACGGAGAAGGTTAGCATGGCCCTGTGCAAGGATGACACGCAAATTTGTGAAGCATTACATATTTTTCTGGTCTCTTCAAAGTTCTCATTTTCTGACATGCTGTGGAGGGTGATGAGGGAATTGCTCCAGGGTGGAGAAAACCCAGCTCCAGGTCTTACAATTCTGTTTTAAGGATAGAGGGTACCAAGTGAGGGGCTTTTATTTCTGTACAGGTAAAATGCCATATTCTTACAATTATAAAGTAATATTTTATGTAATATCTGTTGCCATATTCTAAGAATGGCCTATGAAATAAGTGTTTCAATGACCAGGTTATAAAAATTTTTCCTGTGAACAGTTGAATAAAATAGCTGTTATTTTCTGGGAAAAAAACACAACAACAACAACAACAACAACAAACAAAGAAAAAGAATGGCTGGTCTTGGCTCCTAAATCCTATTGAACAAGCTGGCTTCAAGGAGCCTCAGGCCCAGCACTAGTAGCAGCCAATTAAATTCACAGCTCAGCTTCACTTGTTAATCTCCAAGCCCATAACAAGTAGCAACCATATCAGATTGCTTTATAGCTCTAGTAGGGTGCCCTGGGCAAAATGAATGTGGGGATTTACCTTGGTCTACACCACCTGGGAAATCCCAGGGCCAGTGCACCCAGTGGGCATCTAAAGATCATGTCGGAGCACCATCACCCTGCCCTTGTACAGCTGATACTCCACAGAGGGCAGAGGTTGGTGGTCAGGCCAGTCCTTGCAGCTGACTTGCCTGAGTAAATCCCTCCCATTGATCTGCCAACAGCAACTAAGGCTCAACTACAAGAGGGGGTGTACTCAGCCCACAAAAAGGGTGCACCTTGAATACCCAGCTTCAGTGACAGGGGAGGCTGTGCCACTGGACCCTGCAGGACATTTACTACATTAGGCCACACTATCAAGACACAGAGTCAAAGCAGCTCTACCTGATAAATAGAAACAAAGAGAGGCTGCCAAAATGAGGAGACAAAGAAACATGGCCCAAATGAAAGAAGAGATCAAAACTCCAGAAAAAGAGCTAAAAGAAATGGAGATCAGCAATCCATCAGATGCAGAGTTCAGAACACTGTTTATAAGGATGCACAAAGAACTTATTGAGGACTTCAGCAGCATTAAGAAGACCCACTCAGAAATGAGTGATGCACTAATTAAAATAAAGAACAATTTACAGGGAAACAACAGTAGAGTAGATGAAGCTGAGAATCAAGTTAATGATTTGGAACATAAGGAAGCAAAAAATAACCAATCAGAACAACAAGAAGAAAAAAGAATCCAAATAAATGAGGATAGTATAAACAGCCTCTGGGACAACTTCAAGAGGTCCAACATTTGCATCATAGGGCTGCCAGAAGAAGAAGAGAAAGAACAAGAAATTGGAAATCTATCCGAAAAAATAGTGAAAGAAAATGTCCCTAATTTGGTGAAGGAAATAGACATGCAAGTCCAGGAAGCACAACGAATCCCAATTATGATTGGATGCAAAGAGGCCCACTCCAAGACACATCATAATTAGAAAGCCAAAGGTTAAAGATAAAGAGGCTCTTAAAAGCAGCAAGAGAAAAGAAGTTAGTTTCTAGATGGTTGCCAGATGGGAGGGGGGAGGGGGAGAATGGGTGAAGAGATGAGAGGGTTAAGAAGTACAAATAGGTAGTTACAGAATAGCCATGGGGAAGTAAAATACAGTATAGGAAATGGAGTAGCTTATAAGCATGAACCATGGACATGAGCAATCATGGGGAGATTGCCTGAGGGAGTAGGGGGTGCTAGGTGGAGAGGAGCAAAGGGGAAAAAATCAGGACAACTATAGTAGCATAATCAATAAAATATAATTTTAAGAAAAGTTTTTCATCTTTTCACCATTGAGTGTGATGTCACCTGTGGGTTTGTCATGTATGGCTTTATTATGCTGAGGTATATTCCCTCTACACTCAATTTGCTGATAGCTTTTAATCATAAATGGATCTTTAATTCAATATTTTGTTGAGTTTTCTAAATCTACATTCAACAGTGATATTGGCCTATAATTTTCTTCTTCTTTTTTTTCTGTTATCTTTATCTGGTTTTGGTATTAGGGTCATGTTGGCCTCATAAAATGAGTTGAGGCATGCCACTCCTGTGGAGGAACTGCTGGAGGAGGTTTGGGCAGAGCAAGCAATTTGGTTGAGGTTGGATCTTAGAGAATAACCAGCGTGACCTATGTTAGTCAGGCAAATGGAGAGTTCAGATTTGGTGTCCTTTTGCATGGGTCTGGCTGGATTGGAACTCAATAAAAGAACAATGGTGTTTGCCAGTACTTCAATTCCTGGAGAGAGTTGCCCTGACCTCTGCCCCTCCAGCCCTTACCCGGAAGTTAATCAACTTAGTTTCTTTCTGTATGTCCCTGGCACTTTTTGAGTTGCTGCCCCAGCAGTGGAACTTGCGGCGAGTGAATTTATGTGCCTGCCCTTTAAGATCACTGTGACTCATTCTCTGACAGCCCTTATCTCTCTGAGATGCAATCCTTGATGGTTTTCAAAGCTGGATGTTATGGGGACTACTCTTCCTGGCAATTGTGCCCCAGACTGGGGAGCCTATTGTGGGGCTGGAACCTCCTCTCTCCTCAGGGGATTTCTGTAGCCAGATAGCCCTACCATTTCTTTTTTTCTGAACAGGTCTTATTACACTCAGAGGGGATTGGGGTTTAGTCGTTCTTGGCAGCTGTCTCCCTCATGGCTGCAAAGATATTACTCAACTCCTCTCTCTTCTTCTTGGCACACACGTGTGCCCCTATTCTTTTATGAACCTCAGGGCTGTCTTGTATTTAGAGACCTTGAGCAGCTCCGTGGTGTACTGCTAATAGGGGGCAAAGTCACACACTTCTCAGATCATGTCCCAACATGAACTTGGTGTGCTTGGTGAGATGCCTGTGGTGACTCACTCACATTCTTGTTCACCTTGTGACCTTTGTTGAGGCCCATGGTCATGGGGTAGCACAGAGCTATGGCTATTGCTTCTCAGTTGCTGCTTTGGTGAAAGACCCTACCATTTCTTAATTATTACACTGTGGTTGTGAGACTTGCCCACTGCCTATCTCTGCTTCTCCAACCTGTCTCAATGTTGTTTCTTCCTTATATTCTTAGTTATAGGAATTCTGTTCAGCTAATCTTCATATGATTCTTAGTAATGGTTGTTCTATAGTTTATTTGTAATTATGATGTGATTGAGGGAGGGGTGATTTCAGTTTACCTTCTCTGCTATCTTGACTATAAGTTTATAAGCAGTCTTTATTTTTTAAGATTTTATTTATTTATTTTTAGACAGAGGGAAAGGGAGGGAGAGAAACATCAATGTGTGTTTGCTTCTCATGCACCCACTACTGGGGATGTGGCCTGCAACTCAGGCACGTGCCCCGACTGGGAATCCCACCAGCGGGTTTACAGGTTCGCGCTCAATCCACTGAGCCACACCAGCTAAGGCTATAAGCAGTTTTTTATAAAGTTAAAATATCCTCACCATACATCTCACCAATCTCACTCTTTTCTATTTACTCAAATATATTAAAATTTATGTTCACAAAAAACCTGCACTCAAATGTTTATGACAGCTTTATTCCTAATGGCCAACAACTGGAAACAACTCAAATGTCCATAAAAAGTATAAATGAATGAACAAACTTTGATACAGTCATACAATGGAATACTACTCAGAAATAAAAGAAATAAACTCAATTCACATATATCATGTATGAACCTTACATTTTGCTAAGTAAAAGAAGGCAGACCCCAAAGGCTACATGATTTATGCTTCCATTTACAATGAAATATTAGAAAAGATAAATATATAGGGATTGGAAAGAGATGAGTGGTTTTCATTGGGAGAAGGTGTTGATTAAAAAGGGGAGATATGAAGGATTTTTAAAGGGCATGGAACTATTCTGTATGGTGCTGTGGTGGTAGACATAGGATTTCATGCATTTGTCAATCCCATAGCAATGTATGTTAAAAAAAATGTGTTTTGTGAATAGCAGGCTATGAAAAAAATAAGACTACTAGAATATTTTTTTTTGTTTTCACAAGAGGCAATAGAATTATTTTTACCTTTAGATGAGTGGCCCCATTTCACCACACTGCCCTCCCCCTGTTGTCCGTAAAGACCACTTAGGTTAGAGCATGACCTCCTCTATGCCTTTCAGCAAATGGATTCTCATAGAGACCAACAACAGCAGAGGCTTGATGGTTTTAATGAAACTTTTATGGTTTTAATGCAATATCTGGGTGTAAAGGAAAAGGTTAAAAACACAGTTCATTGTAAAGGGGACCTGTTCTCTAGTCCCAGCTCTACCACTTAATGACTAGGACCTTTAGCTTGTTATTGAGCCTCTCTGTGCCTCAGTTTCTCATCTGTATGATGGGGATAAGAGTGTCGAGCCCATAGGGTTGTTGTGAGGATGGAATATGACATCTGTAAATGCCTACATAATGCTAGACGTGAGGTAAACACTCAGTATATGTTCTCTACTTTGTGGCTTCTCTTCCCTCTGAGAATTAAAGTTTTCTTAGAATTAGCAACAAAAAGGCCAAGTTACTACAAATATACTCGAGTTCAAACCTCAATTCTAATCATTGAGTTTTATAACTTTGGACTTTCTCAGCTTCAATTTTCTCATCTATAAAATAGAATGTATGGTGTATTACTGTGGGGATCTGGGGTCTTGGTCCTTGCCTTCCCTGCATTTCTCTATTTTACTTTCTTCCCTAAAGATCTTAGTCCCCTCATATAGCATCACTTCTCACCCTTTCATCAGTAACTCTCCAACCTGACCTCTGCCCAGCTGCCTTGAATGTCTTATCATTCCTCAGACTCATCATCATCAGACTCACCATGAAGGCTGAGGCGAAGACATTTACACATTCATTCATTCATTCATTTAAAAAAAATCACATATTCATTTTTCACTTACTCTGTACCAGGAATTGTTTTCGGTCCCCAAAACATAGCAGGGATCAAGCAAAGTGATTGCTCCTTGAAGTAGGAAAAACATTTGAGTGGAGAAGACACAAAA